AAATTTTTATTAAGAAAATTTTCGGCAAATCTCGCTTACAGGCACGTAACTTTAATCATGTTGAGAAAATTGATAAATCAATAAAATATTAATCATGACGAATTATTTTCAGAATATTGTAAAAACGAAAGACTTTTTAGACTGTTTTGAATTTACATAGCTGCGTAATCCACTAAAATGGTATTTCTCTTAGACAATTTAACAAATCGAGAAAGGGTCGAGCTCAAATTGATCAAGCAGAAAGCAGCGCGCGATGCGATTGAACAAGATGAAAAATTAGATACTAAAGTAACGTTAATGTTACACCATTCGGAAACAATGAAACTGCGCCCAAGAGAGTCCGCAAGGTACTAAATCCTGACGTTGCGACGTTCTGTCGTAGAGAAAAAGACATTGTCCCTCGTCAGGCCAAAAGATAGTTAACAATTTTTCTCTTCGCCTGGGTGAAAGAGCAGGTAGATTCACGAGGGAAAGGATTGGGCTTTATCTGACAGTCTAGAAATTTACGAGTCTTACGGTACATCCTCCCACTTCGCGCGCTCGCCCTTCAGGGGCGGCCAAGAGGGTTTGAATAACGACACAGGTATTTTCCTGGAGTCTTCTTCGGATGGTTTTTGCGACAGTTTCTTCTCTTTCTCTCTTTCTCGTTTTGCTATCTCTTCGCCGGGACTGTCACCCGTGCTCGAAAAATCGCATAAAATCAGGATCCTCCGGCAGTACACAATTTTCATCGCCCGATTTTACTCGCTCTTCGAATAGCGCTCATGCTTCGCTAAGTCTTCTGTCACGAAGTTTGAAGAAGACGTGTGTCTCTCTCTCTCTCTCTTTCTCTTTCTCTTTCTCTCGCGTTTGTAAACCGAAATTTCCTGCGTTATACATATAAATAGAGCGCGAATAGGGATAGGACGGATGAATAACAAAAATCGTCTGACAATAGTGTTAACCGAATATTTGAGCAGGACATGTGTATATTATAGACTTCATTGAGAAAATCTTCGGTATTCTAGTCGCGTTCGACGAAATGTATACAAACGTTACGAGAGTCGCTGTTTTTCTTTTCTTTTTTTTTTTGCACTCCCTTTAAAGCGTCGATTTCTTACATCGTCATACGTTGATTGATATAGCATTGAATCCGGAGAAATTTGAAAAATACTAACAAAACTAGTTACAAAATTTTACCGGTTGTAGGTCTGTATTTTGATAATTTTACAAATTTTGTGCATTCTCGGTCGTCCAACGAGAAATCATCGCACGCGCGCGCGTCTTACGTATGTCGCACGTATTGCTCAACGAATTGTAATGATACTACTGATTATCAAGGTGAAAAGTTAGACGCTTTCTATCATTTTACATATATTAATTGTATATATTTTGTTCGATTAGATTTATGTCGTCGACATTGCGTAAAGTATCGAGATAAACGTTGGTAATAGAATTTGTAGCGATAAATAACATTTTGATGAAGAAATCGAATTGTTTATAAAATTGTTTATAAAATTAAAATTGTATAATGGTATTTGTGTTGATGCACAGAGATTTGCATATTAATGATTTTTGCATAATGAAGTGTGTTGAAATACAGAAATTTTTGTTGGTTAAAACCTGTCTATAAAACAGAGTCGTGCATAATTATTGTGTAAAGAGATGAGAAAAATATGAACAAATATTGAAAGTGTAAAATATTTAGATATATGAATAACTTTTTCCCTTACTCTTCAGAAAAAAGATATTGAAACTAAAAGTTTATTTGTGAAATCGCTGTATCATTTTTTTGTTTTAAGTAGCCTGTATAAAAATTATGTTTATAGAGAGTATAATGTGGCAATAATGTGTATTAATAATTAATTACTTTTTAATGATATTTTTAAGATGGTGATGAGCTTGTGAATGTCTTGCTTTGCTGAAACACGATGTCAGACGATAATATGCCACATATCTCGTATGGACTCGACAGTCGTGGAAGAATAGTGCGTATAGAATCAGGTATAACCAGAGCAAACATCAGACGTCTTCCAAGTATAGAAGAAGCTTTAAGGAGACTTAGTACAAATCTGAGAGTCGATAGACAACCAAGTGATCCCATTAATGGTAATGTATAGCTAAATAGGAATTCTCCACAAGGAAGATTTGTAATTAAAATACACTTAACTTCAATCAAACTTGTCAATTAATTTGATTGATAATTAATTCAACTAAGATAGAATTGTTTATACAGCAAAATTTTGAAATATGTAATTTGTTTTTCTTAATCTAATCTTTCTTTCCATGTGTCAAACAAAAAATTATTAATTCTATCCAAAATGCAAATATTATTTGATTAGTCAATTGTTGAATAAGTTAACTAGAGTTTGATTGAAATAATTCTCACTATATTTATTGCTATTTCTATATATATTTCTTTTCTTTTTTATAGCAGAAGTATCTGATCCTCAAGTAGCACGTATGGCATCATTGGAGGATGAAGGTTCTCAGAATGCATGGGATGATCTAACAGATCAGGAACTGTCTGCTGATATCACTGATGGAGCATCCTCTCCAAATCAGATCACATCTAGTGTGCCATCATTGACCCCAGAAGAAGAGTAAGTTCATGTTTATATTATCTGAAACATTATTCAAGAGTATAGCACTAAGTGTATGTTTGATTAATGATTTTGATTTGATATTTTCACATACTTATATATTTTTATCATGTATCTCCCAATCTTTTTATTCTTCAAACTTATAGCAAATTGGATGTTCAATTATTGTATAACTGTTTTATTTTGATTTATAACATTAACCTCTTTATCTAGCAGGCGATACTGTTGGGTATGTTTTGCAACTGACGAAGATGATGCAACTGCAGCATGGGTTAAACCATGTCATTGCAGAGGCACTACAAAGTGGGTTCATCAGGGTTGCATACAGAGATGGGTTGATGAAAAGCAGAAAGGTCATGCAGGGCATGCTGTGGCCTGCCCACAATGCAACACAGAATATATTATAGTTTATCCAAATATGGGTGAGTACATACTAGTCAATAACATTTATATGATTTAGAAATATAAGGATCTCATTTATATCCTTTGTGCATGTAGTGTATCGTACGTGCAAATCAATTGCAGGTCCATTAGTGGTAGTACTTGATACGATCGATGCAGTTATCTTCCGAGTATGTCCTTTCATTGCTGCTGGTATAGTAGTCGGATCCATATATTGGACAGCTGTGACTTATGGTGCAGTTACTGTTATGCAAGTGGTGGGTCACAAGGATGGCCTTACTATGATGGAACAGGCCGATCCTTTAGTCCTATTAGTTGGCTTACCAACTATCCCTATTATGTTAGTTCTGGGAAAAATGCTTCGGTGGGAGGATCAAGCTCTCAGTTTTTTAAGACGTCACGCGTCCAAGGTTCCTATTTTAAGGCATTTTCTACCGAGTAGGTTTGTATCAATGATATTATTCTCAATACAATCCATATTTTATATTAAAAAAAGAAGTCGTCTTTATGTATGTCCTAGAATAACTTTTTCAATTTTTATTTTTGCAAACTAATATTTGTTGCATTTTTCAAATGGTATATATCACATAAATAGTATTACATATATATATGCCTTTGAAAGTTATACAATATACAAAACCGGTTGTTGTCTACAAAAAGAGAAAACAACCAAGAATATAAAATAAAAATTATATATATAAAAGTTGTAATTAAATATATAGAAATTAATAATTAGAGAATAAAAATTATGAAAGAGTCATTTCAAATTATCAAATTTATTAATGATTATTGCAGTTATTCTGATGAGGATACAAGTATGCAATCTGAAGATATACCACCAATGAATGATCCAGTATCCGCAACGCGTGTTCTTTGTGGTGCGCTTTTATTACCAACTATCGCCAGCTTATGTGGAAGATTATTTTTTGAAAGCATAAACTCCAACTTTCAAAGAACATTGTTGGTATGTATCGCCTAAATTACAATACTGCGAAAATAATAGAATATTTTCGGATGAAATGTACACAATAACTTCATATCATTAAAATTTAGTAATATTTCTTATAATATCTTTCTTAAATTGCTATTAATCATAATCCATTAAGTTGTACAAATAGTCGTATCATATATGGGTATATATGGGTATATAATGATATATATTTTTTTATTTACTAATATCCACAGGGTGGTGTAGCCTTTATAACAATAAAAGGCGCATTCAAGATTTACCACAAACAACAACAATACAAGAGACAATGTCAGCGTCAATGTAGCATTGTATAGAAGGCAACAAGACCCCGAAAGTGATCGAAGTTAAGTAAAATCTCAACGAATATTTAAATGCCAATTAATTAATGTGCATACAATTTTTCAAATGTAAAGTAATTTAACTTTTTATCAGCGTGTGAGTATATAAAAAAGTCTGGCAACTCTCTTCAGTGTCATATATACATATATGGTGATCATAATACAGATATGGAATAATGGAGACAGAGTTGTATATATATATATGAGCATATAAAAATAAGTACTGTATATGAGGATTATCTCACACAGCGATTAGCTTATATTTTTTTTTTTTTTTTGAAAAAAAAGGAGGGATGTTGAAAACGAATGACTTCTCCTTTAAATTAACATTTAAAGGGGGGAAATACTTTTTAATAATTATTAAACCAATAATACTTTCTCTGTAATCTTCCTTATATGATATATGAAAATTGAAATAATTATATGATTCTTTCCTTACCCGTGTGCTAGAGAATCATCTATCTTTAATTAATCTCTTAGAGAGATTATTATTGCATTTTTCATATTATCATACAGTAGAAGATGCAAGTACTATCATACGGGGAAAGAATTAATGTGACAAATTATTATGACAAATATTTGTTATTTATAACTCTTAAACTTGTGTATATATATGTATATGTTTGCAACATACGCACACACTCTCATTCATACATATACACAATACATATAAATAATATATGTATACTTACACATAAATATATATATTATTTATATTATATATCTATACATACATCTATATATACATATATACATATACACACATATATATATATATATATATCTATATAAGTCTACATTATTAGAAGTAAGATTTATAGGCTATATTTTGTAAACTAATTTCTCACATGTAAATGGTATTATGAAATAACTTGTAGCAAATATAAAATGATTATAAATATCTACTTACAGTGCACAGTGTTTGCAGTGTTACATCTTAACGAAATTTCTAATATACATTTTATTTTGTAATGGTGCTATCAGTATGGATCAGGATATTCAAAGTTACAAATAATATTCGAGTATATGTATATATATTCGAACATATCCATTACCTAACAGACAATTAATATCTCAATAATCGCAATAAAAATTGTCTGAATGCTTAATTAACTCATTAATATAAATAGAAAAAAGTATTTCAAACGATAAACATAGCTATTTATAATACTTCTGTGTGAAATAGTATATTATATTATTTTCTAGATAAAAAATTCCCTTATTCAAGTATCAGTGATTTCTTAATTATTTCAATATAAATTGTATACTCGCGAAGTAACAAAGATAACCGAGTAGTATTGAGACAGTTCAATTGAGTACTATCTTAAAAGTTTACTCTGTAGTGAGATTTCAATAATGTCAATTAATTTCATCTCCGTTTAGTTTAATTAAAAATATCCTGATTAAACTGAAAATAAATCTTTCCAATATAAGACATACTATAAAACAATATATTTAGAACATAGAACAATAATATTGACAGAGAAAGAGAGAGAGAGAGAAAGAGAGAATATTATTAAATACAAACTAATTGTAGAATTTCTAGGATAATAAATTCTTAATGCAGCAATTTTCTTACATCTTGTATAAATACATTTATTGAATAGATTTCCCTATAGTATGCAAAGATGATGAACTAATTAAGTACAATCTTTTTCTAGCAAATATTAAAATTCGAAATAATACTAAAATATATTTTAAGTATTTCACTTTTTTTTCAAAATAAAGAAAAATCTGGAAAGATATAATGTAAGTATTTTTTCCATTCGTAAAACTGCCTTCAAATCTTAAAAATAACACTGTATGAAAGGTAACATGTACACATCCTTGTTGTAATTAATTAATAATTATTCTAATGTTTCTAATATACAAATAATTTATTAACATTTAAATTGTAATTGCTTTATATCTTTTACACTATATAATTTAAACTACATACTTTACCCGTTTTTTTCGTAACTTCTTTGTACTATACATCAAAAAGATATCTTTTTTTTAAATTTATTAATAGAAATTTAATTTACAATCTACTTTTTATTCAATCAATAATCAATATTTTTGACCATTCAAGACACAAAAATATGAAAGATTATCTAAAATATTTAAAAAGTATGCTTTTTGTGTATCAAAGTATATGAAACTTCTATGTATAATGCTATATTGATGAAAATAAATAACACAGCTAGATCGATATATATATATATATAATGTAATGAAATAGTATCTAAATTAACAACTTAAATAGAGAGAGTATTAATTTTCCTATTCTTGGGTTAGAATTTTTGCCTCAGCCTCAATAGAAGCAATTACTTTAATGATAAAATTGAATGTCCATATACTAAACTCTCTTATTGGTAAACTTATCTGTTTGCTGTTATCTGAGTTGAATGCTTGAAATAAACTTCTTCATTTGCGCTGTTGTTACTATGTATACATTTACATTTATCAGACGACTACATTAGAGCAAAAAAGCACATAGTTGCACAAGAATACACAATGATATTTTTGATCTGAGCATGTGATATCGGATTAAAAGTCAGGATTACAGAAAAAATTTACAATAAGGATATTATTTGGTCCCGACAAGCTCACGATACCAATGTTAAACCCTGTATGATCTACATAATCATACATCAACAAAACCTAAGTCCAAACTTAAGTTTGGGTGCATTTATATGAACTAACACTTACGAATGTATGTTCTACGCATACTGTAAAGCATTGTTAAATGCAACAAAATTTATAAATTAAGAAGTGAAAAAGATTATTTGTTACAGTAATCTTTCAATGGAGGTCCAATATATTTAAGACTCGAGGAATAAAAATCTGGTGGACTTTCTATGACTGATAACTGTATCTCTGCAACTATGTCTGCGGATTCTGTACATAACTTAGATTTAACAACTTTAAAAAATGTACACGGTCTTGGTCCTTTGCCGAACTCGTCGACATCGTACGGCGGACTGAGTATATCCAAGAAAGCCGCGGGACCTTCCACACATGTGATTTCATGCAGATTCTTTTCCGATGGTGTAAGAATACAAGCAGATGAATTACTGTGAAAGGAGACTGGTCGATGCCTGACTGCTGCAATCTCCTCGTTCGATTTAATTACATGATCACTTTTTGTCCTCAAACTATAGCTGTTTAATTCTACTACACCACTGATCACCTATTACACAATTAATACATATATTATAATTTATATATCTGTTAAATATTA